GTTCTAGGTTTTGTATTTTTAGCTATTGTTTGGCATCTTTTGGCTTCTAATGTTCTGAACCTTTTAGCTGCTGTTATAGCTAGAGTTTTGCTCAACTGTTTTTGAGCTCACTTTTAGCTACTGTTTTGATCCTTTTAGCCGTTGTTTGGCTGACTTCTAGTTAGTTTTTGCTGACTCTTTTAGCTGTTGTTGAAGAAATTTTGGACAGACTCAGAAAACTCCTCGGGAAGTTTAACAAAGGAAAAATAATTTAGCTGTCATCAGGTGAGAGCAGATCTGTTTCAGAGTGGAGGAGGCGGAGTCAGATGARGTCAGAGTCAGATCTGAAAGGTAAAATATTTGACTGCTGGTCCTCACAAAGACTTCAGCTGATGCTCCGACTCACTGTAGATAAATGAGCGTTAATTCTAGTGTTTCYGCTGTGTGAAGGTGTTTCYGCTGTGTGAAGGTGTTTCAGCTGTGTGATGGTGTGTCTCTGCAGGTAGCTGTATCCAGTGGGGAGGTGGGCTCGACCCGGGGAGGACAGGATGAAGTCGGTCCAGCCCTGGGGACGCCGGAGGCTGTCGTTTCTCCTGGAAACAGTCGCCTCTAGGGAAGCCAGCACGTGGACGGTCTACGCGCCGAAGAAACCCTCCTCACAGGTGAGAAGCCCCTCCTCACAGGTGAGAAGCCCCTCCTCACAGGTGAGAAGCCCCCCTCACGGGTCTGTTTTTGAACGTCTCTCAGCTGTTCTGTAGATTTCGGCTCATTCCGGTAAAAACCGGTTCTAACAAGAAACCCGTCAGCATCAAACTCGGCTACATTTTTCTGTTTGATCTCCACTCGTGGTTCTGAAAGTGAAACTGAGTCACCTGAAACCTGGGAAGCCCCGGCACACGCAGGTGGACCCGGGTCAACAGTGTTGTGTCGGGCTTTTATTCTGAAGGTATCTGTTGAGTAACTTGTTAAAGCTCTATCACACAAAGCCTTTCACGCTGAAACAGTTGTTTCTGTCTCATGGTGACGAACACAGCTGTGGTTCAGGTCTTTGTTCTTTAAATAGTTTCATGTCTGAAGGTTTTAGTTTCTGTCTCAGATCAGGTCCGCTCACATATTTTAGTCCTGCTGAGGGGGCGTGTCCCTGGTCTCACCTGTACAGGTGTAAACACARGGTCAGGTCTTTGTTTCAGTTCAGTATTACCTGCAGTAAATGTTTCTGATGAGAACAGAAAGTGTTTCCTGTCAGTCGGCTGCTTTCAGTAAACGAACCTTCAGCTGAACTGAGGGTGGTAGTAGCTGAGAGTCGTTCAGTTTACATCCTTGATTTTCACTGCTGATCCAGGTTTTCTGTCTCTAACACGTCCCACAGTTTTTAATCAATTTCAGCTGTTTTACCTCTCGAAACCTTCAGCTCATCGAGTGTGTCGCAGCTAAGACTTTTGGTCATAAAATCTTTTAATTGATTTTGAAATATTGAGCATTTTTTAGTATTTTTGTCTCATCTTCATAAAATTATAT